CTTGCCAGGGAAGCGCTTATTCCATTGAGCCATTTCCCCGGCCCCTCCAGTCAGTTTTAGAGAGAAGAGAGGATGTCAATTTCAATGGATAGTTGAATGAAAACTTAAAGACTAAAGAACTACACATTGTAATTAGCATCTGTGTAAATAAAGTGGCAGGAGCACTTATTTTTATCTTTTTTTAATGGAAATGCTGTCTTGGGATGTGCCAAAAAAAGTACAGTTGGAAATAAGACCATATTGTTGATAGCTGTGTTAATTTTTTTTTCTTTTAAATAAAAAATGGAATGTATGTAATTTAATAGAGGTAGGTTCCTTTAATAGAGGTAGGTATAAAAGGTGAATTTCAGGCTTCTTTTGGTCAGTGTGCAGTGGTACTATGGTTTGAGATATTGGACAGAGGAGGAGGAAACAGGCTTTAAAGAAATACAAGTATTAATGTTAAGTTTTTGAAAAAATAATTTTGAATCAAGGAGAATATCCATGGTACACTTGAACATACATGTCTTGGAAGATCTAAGTAAGAGGTAGAGAATTGGGAAATGTCAATATGTTGTTATTAATTGGGAATTTACAGGTTGATATAGGTTAGAAAAGTGGTCCAGAGGGAAAAAAGCCTTTTGCAAAGCCTTGAGAAATAGCAGGATGTAAGGACAGAACAAAGAAATATCAGAATGTAGAAGGAAGAGACAAAAAATGAAATAACATCTCAAGGAAGTTGAAAAACTCAGGGTGTTGCAATATTACATTAAGGGAAGAAAAAGTGTCAAGACTGTATATGTATCAGCTCCCCGCAGTAAGTAAGTATAGCAAACATGATAATAAAACAGGATGGCTTTATATTGTTACTGAAGTGCAGCCATTCAGTTCATTTCAGAGTCTTTTTTTTTTTTTTTTCCATAGAAGGTACAGATTTGATTTTGGCCTCAAATATGAAAGGAACATCTTTTCTCCAATTATAACAACATTGATGTTCAAGTAATGCCTCAGTATTACATTTTTTATAGCAAATAACTAAGAACTAAAACGAAAAGTTTCTGTTGAGAAAGGAGTTGAAGTGAGATGCTTTGAAAAAGTTAGAGAATTCTTAGAGGGATACGGAGCTAGAGATCGTACAGTTGGGTCACTGGATAGCAGTGACAGGTAAGCTTAGTGCTGCTGACCATGACGTTAGGGGGTACACAAATATGCTACTTAGGGAGTTTGCATGTTTGTTTTCTGTGATCTAGAAAATTTGTTAGGTTCAGTACTCCACGGATTGAGTTTTGTTGGGAGTATATAACCAAAGGTCACTGGATTAAGGCAAGGAAAATATTAGAAAGAGGATGATTGAAATGATGAAACATAGAATTTATTTATTTATTTATTTATTTATTTATTTATACTGGAGATTGAACTGGGGACCCTGTGCTTGCCAGAAACATAGAATTTAACCTGGATAGAGAAAAACACAAAACACCTAGACTTTAAATGAATAGTAGTAAAAGTGTCAGTGTACTAGAGAAATGAAGTGTTTTGGAGAACAAACTGATATTTGTATCACATAATTGGACACCTTTAAAACAAAATGTGTTAATCTGTGATTTATGGGGCTGTTCAATTTGAGATGCAATACTTCAAAGGATGGCCCTTGCCAAGCATAATAGTGCATGTCTGTAATCCCAGCCCTTGGAAGCTGAGGCAGAAGGATTGCTGTGATTTTGAGGCTAGCCTGGACCATATAGTGAGTTCAAGATCAGGCTGAACTATGTAGCACGACCCTGTGTTAAAAAAAAAAAGACCCTGATGATTTGAATGACCATGCTTCAGTAACAATACAAAGCCATCCTGTTTTATTACTGAGTTTGTTATACTTATTTAATATGAATATTGTGGGGAGTTGTTACACACAAGT